ATGCCATGCATGGGCGAGATTTGGCCCGGTGGGTAGCTCGTCAGCGAAGGATTGGGCAACGTGATCGTCCCAGGTGGTATCCTTGTCGTCGACGTCGCGGGCGAGCCCACATTCGGAACTTGTCCATTCGCAACATTCGCAGCTCCTGTTGGTCCTGACGTTGGAATAGCTGTCGTGGCTGCTGAAGGTGATCCAGGGGTATGGTGCCAAGCCGAATAACCATACATGCCACCATTCATGGCTGACGGATATCCGGCCGATGCAGACGATGCGACAGGTACATAAGCGAGAGCAGGAGGATACTGATCAAACGGTGATCCAGGTGGGGAAGTCATAATGTAGCCGGCTGCTAATTCGAATGGTGTCATTGGGTCTGGAGCAGCACTGACCACTGGTGCTGTCAATGCTCTGCAAGGTGGACATGGTGGATTAATGGGCCAAGCTATGAATGGAATGGGTATGGGACCCGTGACGCCCTACTTTGATATGACGGCTGCGACCGCGGGGTCTGATGCCGCTCAGGAATACTTCCCACCAATGCCGATCACGACATCTCTTACGAGTGCTATTCAGTCGATGAGCCTCTCGAACAATAATTCTGGTAGCTCTGCACCACCTGGAACAGAATCTACTGGAGTTTCTACTGCGTCTGCTTCGGGACCGTCGAGCACAAAGGAAGAAGAGCCACCGACGTTCTTGGAGCCGGTTGGAGTGGGGCGTGATGGATTCCCTTCGCTCTCTGCCAAAGCTTCGGATAGTGTCGTGGACGGACCTAATGAAGGTGTGAGCAGGACTGGATTCACGGAATGGGTGACGACACCCGATGATCTACCTGGAGGTGCTAGTCTGCGGAGGAGGAAGCTAGAAGGTCGTAAGAGTGGACCTGTCGTAACGACCATGAAGGCCCTTGACAAGGAGGCTGCAAAGGAGAGGAGCATCTCTGCAGATCAAGTCACCACCTTGAACTCTATGACCACACCTCCCAGTAGCAGCAGGGCTACGACGGGCAGCACGAGCCCTCCGAGTGGTGGAAGTGGACCCATTTACTCGTCCAGCAAGAAGCCAAAGTTGACACTTGGCCCGATTCCCAAGTTCTCTCCGGATGCGCGGCTCGCTCAGCACTATGCTTCCATGGCCATGAACAAGGGTTCAAATGGAGGTAATGGACCCAAGTCCCCCCCATCTACCGCCCAATTGGCGACAAGAGCCAATAGCAATGTTTACGGCACGGGATCTGGTGGAGGTAATGCCGCCACGGGTGGAGTCAACAACGTGCTCAATAATCCTGGATTTGCCGCTGCCGTCGGCATCAACGCGAATGCGCTCAAGATCAACGGTACCCCCAATGGGTTTCGGGATTCCTTGAACGTGGATCCTGAGACGGGTGCTATGCGACGTGCTAGTTGGACAGAAGATGCTAGCCGAAGACAAACCATCGTTCAAGCTTTGGGATCTGAACAAGCTGTATAATTGGTGTGTGCTTCTCTGAAAGGGTGTCTGGGATATATATACTAATACTCTCCTAGTGTTCTATAGGAGTCGACCAAGTCGGCGGTTCAAAATGATACCCTTAGCATGGCATGACACATCAGAGCCTTCATTTCTCTTCTCCTTTCAACAGGTCCTTGAAACAATATGGTTATTTGGCGTGGAAGCAACGGCAAAGTGCTCCTTTCGGTCCAATGATTTCATCCTTTGCATTCTCAACCACAACACAGACATCCCAATCGCTGCATTCAAATCATCGTATCTCTCTTCTCGGTTACAGTCTCCCTGATTTATTCTGTCTCGACTGCCCAAAAGTGTGTCTCCATCTCCCCGGGATGGGCGTGCCCATCTGATATATACAACTCCTTAACGAACATTGCTCGTACCCATCGACCGAAACACCTCAAGTCTTGTCCCGTATGCCCGTGGAACACTTTTTAGAATGATAGTAATACGTAGTGCTCTCTAGGTCTTGATTCCTAAAATGCCCCGTCTCTCTCTCTCCCCTCCCCGTCTTGTCTGTCTTGTTTGCGCTTTCATCTTCTTCTCTGGAGTTGGTGATTGCTTTATTTGCTTGTGTGGTTGATTGATTCAGCACCAGAAGGTTCCTCTTTCTCGAGGTCTCGTGTCTGCTATTTTTTCTGGTCCTGAGCATATTCTCCTGTGTCTGTGCATGTATGTAAACAATTGTAGACAATATCTCGGCTTTCTCAGACATCGGTGGCTTTTGTGGTCTGCTTAGCTCGGTCTGCAAATGGATTGACGTCGTTCACGACGATAGGGATATCCCGGATAGAAAACCATGTTACATAGTATATTATTAGAATACAGGGATCGAATCTATATATCTGCCCGAAATACAAGTTAGACTTGGCACGCGTGGAGGTGGCAAGTATACGTATAGCACTTTTAAGTTTTCTTTGCAACGAATAGCCCGAAAAGATGATAATTGAGGTGGAACGAGAATGCGAGGCTGGTTTTGAAAATCATGAGAATAAGGAAAGGGATATCGCTACGTGGAGAAGAGGGGGAGTCCTATGGAAGGGTTCGTTTGCGCATAATCTTCTTGGGTCTTAATGTCTGATTTCGTTCGTTATCCGCATCCGCTTCATAGCCCTCTGCGTCCGTTGTAACCAGCACGG